GTCTGGCGCGCTGCGAGGGGCGCTGGGCTCTGGACGCGGGGGCGGTGGGGGCTCCGCGCGGGTCTGGGCTGGGCTGGCCCGCTCCGGCGCCGGGGACCACGCACGACTGGTTAGATCTTGTCGTGATCTCTGGAAAACTGTGACTATCTCACATGTCCTGCCCAGCTCGGATCCCCTGCGCTAACGAGCCAGGCCCCCCTTGATTGCTGATTTTACGCTTTTTGGACCAATTGTGGGTCTCCGGGGGCGGGGTTTTGACAGCTCGGGCCAAGCTCCGGCCCGGAGGGGGGGCCGGGGAGAAGGTGTCGGAAGCCTCAGCAGTAAGAAAACATGTCAACAGAATAAAATATTAACCAATGACTGGCCGACAGGCCCCGAGACCCCTCCCCCTGCCCCGGCCCCCACCCCACCGCCCGCGCCCGCGGCTGCCTGCGCTGGGACAGGAACTTGCGGCGCGCTGGCTCCACTCGCCGAAAGGGCCCGAGGTGGGGGGCGCCGGGGTCCCTGGGCCTTCGGGAAGGACCCCCAGCCGCACGCCTGCCCCAAGTACAAAGCATTGACACGGCCTCGAGAGGAGAGGGGGCGCCCTCCTTCTCCCGCGCCCCGGCGGCCCGGCCTCTCTGGCCCGCGTCCCAGCTTGGCCTCCGACCCGGCTCCCGGCCTCGGCGCCGCCTGGGGCCCCTGCGCTCGGGAGGAAGGCGGCAGGCGCTGGAAAGCGAGGCCTGTGAGCGGGCGAGTCGTTAAGCGCGGGCGGCCGAGGTCCCGGAGTGGAACCCAGGTGGCGGGAGCCGGTGAGTGGAACCTTAGCCAAGCCCTGCTGGGGCCGGCGTGGGCGCGAACGGGACGCGGCCTTGCTCTCGGGAAACTCGGGGACCCCCTAGCCCGTGCCTCCTCTCACAGGAAGACTGAGGAGTCTCGCGCAGTCAGTCCCTGGACTTAGCCGCTTGTCCGTCTGCGTTCCCGACTCAGCCCTGAGGCTCCCGAGGCCTGGAGAGCAGGTCTTCAAGGCTAGGAAGGTGGACGCACCTTCCCCTGGGCACAGGGCTGAGCGGCGCAGCCATAGTGTTTTCGACCCGCGACAGAACGAATTTTCGCCGCATCCGGTACCGGAGACGCAAGTCCCCCTCAACTTAAATACTGGCATCCGCTCTCTCCTCCCCACCGCTTTCCTAGAGTTTGTCTCCGGCCTCGGAAACGCTTGTCTTCCACGTTCAGCTGAATAACCCGTGTGTGTGGGGTCCGGGTGTCTGAGCGCACCTGTGGCTGAAAGCCTCCACTCTCCGCCATAAGTCTGCGTCCTCAGGCAGCCCCCGTATTTTTGCGTGTTCGCGTGTTAGTGTGTGTGTGTGTGTGTGTGCGCGCGCGCGCGCGCGTACGTGTGTGTGTGTGTGTGAGAGAGAGAGAGAGATTCGTGCCCAGTGCGGTGCCCTCCACGGAGTGCGCCTGGAGAGTGGAGCGGTCATACACCTGCCTCCAGTCAGGCACGGGTGCGGACACTAGACTGGTGTCAGTTTGTCGCGTTCCGAAAGACAAAACAGGCCATGCACTAGCTATGGTGACATGCCCGACCGCGCAACGAATACAAGTGCGGGTGAGCTCGGCCCGCGCAGGCCCTGTGCCTGCCTGGTGGGCGCACACTGCTGACATCGAGCAGTGACCCAGACAGCCGGCCCGGCCGCCGCGCACACCCGGTAGCAGCAGGGCACCTAGTCGTTGCGCGCTTGGATTTGTCAAGCAAAAGCGTGGATCGCCCCTAGCGGCGATGGTGCAGGAATGGCGATAACGGTTTGGCCTCTGCGACCTTTTTCCTACTTTTCCGAGCGGCCCTAGAACTCTTTGTAAGTCCCTTATACGGCGCACAAGTGGGCGCCACCCCCACAGAGTTTTCTTCACGACCTCGCTCTTGGCTGGGTCGTTCTTTAGTACCTTGTCTCGGTCCAGAACGAATGTTCGACTCCGCACTGCTCAGTCTACGCAGCCGGAGCGGGATCCGTTCCGGCTTTGCAAGGCAAAGCCTTGCAGCTTTACGTCAAGCGGCTGTGGCCCCACAGGGAGGACAGTATGTAGGCACGTTTGCTAAGTGGTAGAGGTGCCCAGATTTTAGCTAGGGCACTGCTCCACAGCGAGAATTTGGGCACGGCCTGGGAATCCATGGATGCGTTTGCAAAGTCGTGTGTATGTGTGCGTACATGTACTTCTAAGAATGTGTGTACGCCTAGTGTGTGTAGTTTGGGCATTCTCATTCGAAGGGTCCGTAGTTGGCCCAGGGGTCTGAGGCCCGGAGAGTTTGAAACATGCCGGCCTGGTTTATTTGTCCAAGAATCTCGGCTGTGATTCTTTTGGGACCGCGATTCCACTTAACCACGGCCGCCGAGTCACGTCCTACGGTGGCCACCAGCTCTTTTCAGGCGCCCTGCGCTGTTCTAGATGGCCCCTGCAGGACCCCACCTACTGCTCCGTCACCCCGCTACTACCCCGTGGTCCTGGGGCAGACGCTCCAGAGATTCTGAATGGACCCGCCAGCCAAACTCCAGCAAAGAACCTCTTTGGCTCTTCGAAAACCTGCGGTGGAGAGGCCAAGGCGACCCCGAGCGTTGCCTGAAGGCGCCCGGCTTCCCCTTAGCCCCTCCCCCGCCAGGCCTAGGCCCCCTCCCCCTTCCCTGGAACATGCGCCCCTGGGGGGCTCCTTGGGGGCTGAGAGTGCTTGTCTCTTTAAGAGGCCCCGGGGGGCGCCTCGCGGGCTGCCCGGGGCTGCCGGGGGAGGACATGGGCGGGGGCGGCTGGCGCCAGGAGGCCGAGGCTCCACAACAAAGCTCCGGCCCCTGTCACTTCGCATCGGCCGGGCCGGGCAGACGGGCGGGGGACGTGCGCTTAGCCGCCCCTCCCTCTCCGGGGTAGTCCTGGGCCGGGGCGTTCCGGGGGCGCGGGCCTCGGGGGCTCCGGCCCGCTGCGCGTGCTCAGTGCCCTCCGAGCTTCCCGCAACTACCGAGTCGGGCAGAGACTGTCTGGGCCCCGTGGGCTGCCGTCGGTGCCTTGGCCTTGTAACCTCCCGCGGGGCCAGGGGACACTGCTGAGATCCTTCTCGCGTTGAGCCTTGGGGATGCAGGGGTCCCTGCCCTTGTCAGGGTCTGTATGTGATTGGGCGTGGATGTGCATGCGTCCCCATGAAGTGAATGGCGGGAATGCTCGGGAGCGCGTGGCGGTGTAGTAGGGGGGACATGCAGCTGGGCATTGGGGCGCTGATTTGAGGCTGGTACCAAGCGTGCAGCGGTGTAGGAGTGTGGGCGTGTGTGCCCAGACCGAGTCCGGGAGAAGCGCGTGACCAACTGTACGGGTGCCACTGGGCGCGACCACTCCGCCTTGGCGCGTTGCGTGTGTGGGGGTGAAGACACCCCCGCGGGCAGACCGAGAGGTCGTCGGTCCGCAGCTTCTCTGGCCCGACCCGCGCCTCCCGGAGCCCTGGCGCCAGCCAGCCCCCGTTTAGCGGCCGAGCCGGGCTCCCCCGCTGTCACTGGTCTGGCCGGGGTGGGGGCCGCGGCCTCGGTGACCTCGGCCTGCAGCGGTCTCGTCTGCCCCGGCCATTTAGACAAATTGCGGCTGACAGGCGCGCAGCCTCTCTGGAGCCGCCGCCGCCGGTCGCCTCCCTCCCGCCCCAATTACCCCGCGTATGGCCGACCGCGCCAACTGGCTGCGAGAGGGACGAAGACCCTTTCTGGCGGCGCTGTGGCCCCGGTCTCGCACAGGTACAGGCGGCGGGATTACTTCCTCCAGGTGGGCCTGGAGAAGAAATGCCTCAGCGGCCATGGCCTGTGTGGCCCAGTCCCTAGAATTCCAGGCTGATGCCAAGCGAGGCCCAGCCGGACAGGCCCGGCCCTCGACCAGTGTCGTTCCGGACCTGAAACAAAGGTCACGCGGCCGAAAACCGAGGCCGCGTTTCAGCCGGACTTTGGGAGAATTCCCCATAGTTTGGGGGATCCTGTAACCTGGGGAATTCCATACTGTCTGTGGTTCTGGGCCCACTGTAGTGGTTGGGACCCAGGGGTCGGCGAGAGCGAGGTGCGGATCCGTGAACCTGCGTGTGCGTGTGCGCACGTGGACGGGCGAGAGATCGTGGGTGCGGATGCCCGGCACCGTAGAAGCGTGAACAGGACACGCGGCTGTGTGACACGAACGCGGGTTCAAAGTGCAGTAAGGACCCCAAGGACCAGCCCACCTGTGACAGAGGGGTGGGGCTGGCCTGCGCGCGCGCTCCCCAGGCTCTTGATTCGATTTCAGAAACGTTTTTGCAGGGAGTGGGGCCGGGGATTCCGGGAGCGGCTTCGGGGGCAACGCGCCACAACCCGTGCTCCCTTTCCGGGTCGGTGGAGGAGCGACCGGTCAGCTTCAGTGCTTCGGACCGCCTTTTGCCTCTCTGACCTGCAACTTTCCCTTTGTATCCTTTAGCTTTTGAGCTTCTCCCGGCTGGGGGTTCCCCCTTCCCCCAATTTACAGATTTCAGACGCTGAAGCCAGAGATGCGATAATCTACCCAAAGCCACATGACTGCTGGTGGCAGAGTTGGGGGGGGGGCATCCCGAAAAGAGAGTAAGCCTCGAATCTCTTCTTCTTCTTGTTGTTATGTGCCGTGGAGTCAGCCCCGACTCATAGCGACCCCTCCTTGGGTTTCCGAGGCAGTTTATCACTACGGAAGTAGGATTGCCCAACCTTCCTTCCGAGGAGTGGCCAAACTTCCTTCCGAGGAATCTCTTCTTAAAAGGTGGAATTATTACTGTGGTCAAGCTACCTGCCTCTACTCTTTCAACCCGCCGTCACTGAAACTTCTGTTCTACAGCACCCTGCCCTTTCAGGCTTTGAATACAGAACAGTCAAGATGCCTCCAGGCTCCTCCCCCCCTTCCTCTCTGTTTCCAGTTCTAGGTCTGCAGGAGTGGGCTACGGTCCCAGTTGTTGTTATTATGTGCCCTCAAGTCAGACCGACTCATAGCGACCCCTCCTTGGGTTTCCGAGGCAGTATCACACGGAAGTAGATTGCCCAACCTTCCTTAGGAGGAGTGGCTGGTGGGTTTGAACCACCAGCCTCCTGGTTAGCAGTCAAGTGCTTTAGCCACTATGCTACCAGAGCTCAGTTACATAGACCAAAAAACCAAACTCACTGCCCTCCAGTCCACTTGGCTCACAGCGACCCCTCCTTGGGTTTCTGAGGCACTATTCCTATGGAAGTAGATTGCCCAATCTTCCAGGGAAAACGCACTGCCATCAAGTTGATTTCAACTCACAGTGGCCCTTTAGGACAGAGTAGAAGTGCCCCATAGGGTTTCCAAGGCTATAAATCTTACAGAAGCAGACTGCCTCATCTTTCTGCTGCAGAGCAGCTGGTGGGTTCGAACCACTGACCTTTTGGTTAGCAGTCCAGTGCTTTAAGCACAGCACCACCAGAACTCCTTGCAGTAGTGGGGAGCAGCTTCAAAGTAAGGGGCCAGAGATGGAGGCTTGAAGCAGGACACAAAAGGCAGGTCAGGTTTTAGTCCCTTCTAAGAGAACTGGAGGAAGGTTGGGCAATCCTACTTCTGTAGTGATACTGCCTCGGAAACCCAAGGAGGGGTCGCTATGAATCAAGGCCGACTTGACGGCACAGGCACATAACAACAACAACAAGAGAACTGGCTGGGACAGGGAGACAGCAAGGTGTAGATGGGGTCGGTAGATTAGCTGTGTGACTTGGTAACCTTGGGCAAGGCCTTGCCCTTCTCTGGGGCTCAGGCTTACCATCTGCAAAATGATGAGCACCTAACAATGCTCTTAGGTGCCTGCTAGTTTAGAGATTGTCTGGTCTGTGAAAATCAGTGCTTCAAATTGGTTCATTCCCATTTGACCTCCTTCTGAGAATTTGCATGTCTACCCCCAGATGCACTGAATCAAAATCCACATTTTCACAAGATCCCTATCTGAGGAGCTAGAACAATCACCTGAGATCTTGTGAAAATGTGGATTCTGATTCAGTATATTTGGGGTGGACATTCAAATTCTCAGCAGGGGGTTGTACCAGAATGAATTGGTTTGAAGCCCTGGTGAAAACCAGCCAATCAGGACAGAGAAACCCTCTCCATTAACAGGCTGGCACCTGCCTGGTCTGGCTCTGCTGGCTTCCAGAGGAGCCATTGACAGAGTGCTGATGTGCCTCAATGTGCCTTGGGACCGCTGGGCCTTTCCTTAAGTCAATCCCAGATAGTGAGTGCCTCCCTTCCTTGAGTTGCCACCCAGGTCCCATCCGCCTCCCCATAGACCATGAAGATATTTTCCCTCCAGGAAATTGAGAGGAAGTCCATAGCAATTTGCCCATTCAGCAGATAGTCCTGAGAATCAGCAAGGTCACAAGGGTCCTTAAGGTCACCTGGTAGGACCACAATTAGATCCATGTTTTGATGGCCTCCTAGGTGATGCCATCATGGAAGTCACTGGAGCTGCTGGAGGTGACGTGGCAATTGTCCTGGAGGTTATCTGTAGAGGACAGAAGCTGGCTGCTCCAGGGTAGGTGAGCAGTAAGGTCCCTCACCCTGTGGCCCAGCTCTCACTTCCAGCTGATTACAGGCAGGGTCCATAACCTCCCCAATTAGCCAGGGGCCAGACCCAAGGCCTCTCTGATAACCCCAGCTCTAGTGGCAGCCGCCATGGGGCCAGCTTATCTGGCCTCTCTTATCCTCCCCCTTCCCCCACACACTCAGAGTTGCCCTAGCTGTGAGCAGATGAATAACCAGATTGTCCTGCAAGCTCAGCCGGCAAGTCCAGCCCTACACCCACCACTTTCCCTGACTGGGGGAGGCCACAGCTGTTTTGCCCCCTGGAAGGAGAGGGATGGGCTAGGCAGGACTCCTAACTAAGCTTCCAGCCGGTTCCCTGTGTAGCTGGAGAGAGCTCCTGACAGCAAGGCCTTCGTCCCATCCATGTGCCCTAGGGTGGATTCAGAGGGGCTCACTTTCCCTAGAGGTCTGGACCCATCCCCAGGGAGCCAGACCATGGGCAGAATGCACAGGCAGCCTGGTGGCACCCTCCCTTGTCCCCTTTTGACTGCAACACTTCTCTGGCTGGGGTGTGTGTGTGGACACTCTGCCAGTCATGCTAAGTCTCCAGTTCAGCTGAACTGAGGAAAAGCTGCAGCTCCTCCAGCTGACCCAACTGTGCCCAGGCCTCTTTAGGCTCCCATCATGCCTCACTCTGGCGTGTGATTTCTCACCCTGCAGGTTCCCAGGCAGGAGGGACTTGGGCCACTCTGTGCCTGGCCGCATATCCTAGTGTGACCGAAGCCACTCTTCTCTCTACATGCCAAACTGATCCGGTGAAGGAAATGGAAGACTTTTTTCCTCAGGTGCCAGGATGGGATGGGTGTTTCCGAAGGGGGCAGGAGCCATGGCTGGACTGTTGGATAGGAAGACTCAATTGTCTGTGAACCCAACTTTTGGCTGTTACATTAAACTTCACCTGAAACCAGACTGGGCTCAGTGGGTTTCCTTCCATCTTCCAGGGACTCCCTGGAGCCTCTGGGAAAGATGGGCCAGAGAAGGCAGGGAGGCCTTCCTGCTCAATACAACTTTTTATTCTCCCTGCTTGTGTCTCCTTACTGCTTTAGGTCCAGAACTGGGAGGGAGGGAGGGAACAAAAACAGGAAGTTGTCACCCCAAGTTTCAAGAGAGACCCACCTTTACCCGATTCCTTTCCCATCTTCTGGGTTTGAAGAGAGAGGTGGCTCAAAGCCAGAGGCTTTGGAGAGTTCTCCTTCCCAATTGACCACCATGTCTAGGGAGGGTCTAAATCTTTGGTGGCCCGGAACTTAGTGGTTCTGGTGATGGGCATGAAGTTGGTGAAAGGACTTAAGTCAGGCCCACTCAAACTGCAGATCAAAACTTGTCCTTCCCGTACCTGCCCCTCACTGCCATCCCACTCCCTGCCTTTGCACAAGTGGTGGTGGGGGTGTTGGGATCCAGGGTACATAATCAGGCCCATATGACTCTGCTCAACCTTTGGGGAGGACCCTAACTCCAACAATTCAGGGATGGACACCAATCGCAGCATGATTTATTGGACAAGACGTGCACTTTTTGACAGCCTCAGTAACCACAGTTTCCTTCACTGAAGAGTACAGGACCAGGGTAAAAGGGCTTAAAGATAAGAAAGACAAAATCTTCTCATGAACTGAAAGGGAAAGGAAGGAGGAAGAGGAGGCTTCTCCTTCCTTCCTCCTTCCCTAATACTCTGGGCCTCAGTTCACCCCACGATGGGAGGATGGCTGACCAAGGAAAGCTGGGGAAGTGTGTGTCACAGCCAGAAGTGGGCGGGGCTGAGGCTCTTCTGCTCAGGGTCAAAATGCCTGGCTGGGCCATCTACCCTCTCCCCACACAGGCCCCCAAATCTGGGCACTGTCCCAGGCCCCCTGTGGGTATGGTTAGAAAATGCAAAAATCGGATCCAACGCGGGATGTCATGTGCAAATGGAAGAGAGGGACCCAAATTCTGCAGACTCTCTCGTGGCCAAAGCCCTGCCGACAGGTGCAGCAGAGGTCAAAGGGCACTGAGGTGCTTCGGAGAAGGGTCTCTTCTTGATCCAGGTAGGGTGGATGGCCGTTGTAAGCTTGGGGAAGGTGGTTGATGAAAGAGGAGTAGAGACTGAACGGCAGGACCAGAGGGGGGCTTCTCCTCCTCCCCTCAGCAGGTGAGCGGGCCGGCCAGTGAGAAGCAGGTTGCTGGTACCTACGGGAAGCTGGTAGGGAAGAGGCTGAGGGGCTGGCTCTCATTGGTGGGGAGCGGAGATCGGTAGCCATCAAAGTTTCTTGGGATGCTGCCACTGGTGGAACCTGAGCTGTTACTCAGAGTCTCGATGCTTCCCTCTCGCTGTAGTTCTGCAAGACAGGAGAGGGCCGGGTGTGGTCAGAGAGGGCTCTGGAGGGTGGGAGCACACCCTGGGCCAGGCTGCTTGCCTTCAGGCACCAATCTGGATCCACTTACATCCTTCCGCAGGGGGGATCCCCACCTGCTCCCCACATGGGCCAGGCGGCAGTATCACAGGGCAGCTCAGCCTAGGGTGGGAGGAGCTCCCTTGGCTGGCAGGCCCGTTTTTTAGACCAGTCTTCCATCACTGTGGGGAAGCCCTCTAGGCCACATATATGGCTGCCCAGCTGATCCGTCTGGGCAACACAGAGCACGTGCCCCCACCTGCACATATGCTCAGCCAGAATGCTCCCCTGGCTCCATGGTGTCTCCTGTTCTGGATCTACAGGTCAGACAGGCAGACAGAAGCCAGTGCAAGGGAAAGACTATCGCCTCCCTGCCTGACCTGCCCTTACCTCTCCTCCCGTGTCCACCTACTCCATTCAGAGCCACCACCCTTGGCTAACTACTCACTCGCTCACTCCTTATTACACCCACACTCCACCTGCTGACAAGGCCTCACCTCATCTTTGGCACCTCCTGGGAGCTGTCCTGCTTGCCTGCAGAAAGGCAGGCCTGGTTTGAAGGAGGCCTACTCCAATGGAGAGAGAATCCGTGACTGCCTAGAGTATCTCCCTTTTCCTCCTCCTCTTAACCCCCAGGATGCCTGGAGGCCCCTGGGAATGTACATGCCCAGAATGGATCTAAACAAGCAGGCAGAGAGGCTCCCACCTCCTCCTCCCCAACCTCCAACCTCCATGGCCTCTACACATCCATGTGGCCATCCTGAACACAGCAACTTGCTCCATCTCAGTTACCTGTGGGCACCTGAACTGCCCCACCACATTTTCACTCAAGATGGTTACGGTGGTAGGTGAATTAGCGATTTCTGTTCTTGCTGGATGCAGGAAAGAGGAATTACTTCTTAGCTCTTTGCAGGTTGCCAGTTTATTTACATTCCTTTGCAATCCCTCCTACTGGCCTCTGAGATGTAGGCACACCTATCCCTGGGCAGTCTCTGGGAGTCGGCCACAAGCCAAGATGTGATGACCCGCAGTCTATTTTTCTCCAAGGTATGCTTGCCTATGACTGAGGATGTCTTGCCTTGTCCACCTCAGGGCTGCAGCACCTCAAAGCAATCATTTGAGGCCAAGGTGTGCTCAAATGTTAAACTTATGTGGCTTGGCTTGAAGCCTTCTCTCCCATCTACACTGGCTCCCAGACCCCTGCCACCATATACATGCAGCACAGCTGGCTATGGTTAAGGAATGGGACACAGCCTCAGCTGCCAGCCAGGAACTAACCACTGGGCCCCATTCTCTGCAGGCCACCCCAAAACACTGAGGCTGCCCTGTAGTAGCAGCCACAGCATAATTATGGTTGGGGCAAGGGGGGAGGGATTCTGTGCTGTGCTCCCTCAGAGCCTCAGGAAGGCCTCTGAACCCAGGTCTGAGGTCCCTCGGGCTGTACCAGCCGTGCCAGGGGGTCTGGTGTGTGGGACAAGAGACTCTTTCAGCAGACTGGGGGCAGTGGGGAAGAGGAAGGCTGAGGACCTGGCTATGGTCTCTGATATCCAAGAGATGCTGCCCCTATGGGCCCCAGCCCTGGGATAAGTCAAGAATTTTCTGGATACGGATAGAAAACAAGGCAGGTTGCTTCTGGGTATGATCTCTTATTCCTTGCTCATTCTTCAGTCTCACCCTAATTTGGGGACACAGGCCACTGCACCAAGAAAGGATGGAAAAGCAAAGAGTAGACCCTGAGAATTCTATATGGAAGTTTCAGACTCCAAGAAAGCCCTTTCCACACCCTCCCCCTGCCCCAAGCAAGCCCAGTTTGTGGGAGAGCTCCAAGGCCCTAGTCTGGTTTCAGAGGCCCTTGCTCTCGTACAGGGCTGTCCTGGCACTAGGGGGCGCTGACAACAGGTCCAGGAGGGCAGGAGAGGCAAGCACTGCAGTAGCAAGAAAGGCAGGGGCTTCCTTAGGTCCTGGACATCAGGCCCAAGGGAAAAAGCCCCAGATGAAGGAGCAGGAGAGGCCATCAGTATGGGGAAGGGTAACCCTCTTCCAGAGCTGAGGAATAGGCCCAATGGTCTTGACGCAAAATGCCAATGTGGTCACGTTGCCAAGGACATCAAGGAAACCAGAGCCCAGACCAAGCACTGCACCTGGAGTGTAGCACTCCACCGCACAAGTCTGGGCACACACACCCATCCCATCATGTCACACTACAGGGACTGTCACAAAACGGGTTACAAGATGAATTTGTTGCAATTCAGGGCCAGGTGGAGCTTAAGCTGCTTTACCTATGGTTTTTCTTCACCACCTGCTGTTGTCAGGTGCCGCTGAGTTGACTTTGACTCACAGGGACCCCATGTGATTGAGCAGACTTGCCCCAGAGGGTTTTCTAGGCCATCATCTCAATGGAACCAGCTCACTAGGGCTTTCTCCCATGAAGCTGCTGTGTGGCTTTGAACTGCCAACCTTTTAGTTAGAAGCCAAGCACCTAACTTGCACTGCCAAGCTCCTCTTCCCTGGGTAGGCCTGGGGTGAGATGGAAGTGGGCACCCCACTACCCAGTGGTGAACAAGGCTCTGCTGTCTCCTGCGCATCTCTGTAACCTTGTATTTCCTCTCCATGGTCAGGTCTATACTTTCCACCTGGCTAATTTCAATAGCTCCCTACTGAGGATAGCAGGTCTGTGTTTTGAGGTCTCTGACCTCCAGACACCCCTCTCTAACCCATCCTCCAAGCCACAGCCAACATAATCTGTCTTCAACACAAACCTCATGCTGCCTTCCCTCTTCTTAAAAGCCTCTGATGACCCCTAGCAGCCTTCAGGGTAAGGTGTCGCCTCCTCAGCACTATAAAAAGGCCTTCTATGATCCATCCCCCAGGCCCCACCTCTCCAGGGTTACATGTTACTCTATCTAAGGAATCAAAGCAATGAATGCATGTGCAGTGTTCGGATCTCTCTAGGCTGCTTCAGGCCACTGACAAGCCCACCACAGGCTCTCCCTGCCCTCAAAGCACCTATTCATCTTCCCAAGCTTAGCCCACATGTCCAACTCCTGTTCCCTTGGCAGAGTGGGTGGGCCACGCCCCGCTTTGACCCTCTGTGTCCCCACTGACTCCTACCCCAGGCCCTCTGATGCTTTATGCACCATTTGCTCACACGTGTCTCCCATGTAGACGCACAGCCCCTTGGGGACAGGGTCTGTGCCATATTCATCTCTGTATCTCTAGTGCCAACCACAGGACCTGGAAAATAATGCTCAAAAGAGCTTTCTGGTATGAATGAATAGAAAGAGGTGGTAAGGGGAGGTGGGGCTTATTCTTCAGCACGGACCAATAGCAAGAACCAGGGCCTGCCGATCCTAGGTAGTCTCCTGGGTAGTTTCTAACATGCTGTTTGTCCAACCCCTTTTCTCCTCTTCCTGCTGAAGACAGGAAAGTGAGTGTGTGTGGAAAGCGGAGGTGGATCAGGGGGTATACACAGTCTCCCCTCTTTGTCACCCCGGCCGCCCAGCCCTAGTAGCAAGCGGCAAATGGAAACGTGTGGCCTTACCTTCCTCCATCCCGAACGCATGCTTTGTTACTGTTGGGTTGCTCACGGACGCTGGGCTGTTGGCATTGTTTTTTTTTTCCTTTTTTTTTCCCTTTTGAAAAGAAAAGCATTGAGGAATCTTTTTGGAAAAGATATGGACAACGGTCGAGAGGTACACTGATCTCTGCAAGCAGGTGGAGAGGGAGTGAGGAGGCGTGGGGCAGTCACACCGGGAGGAGGAGAAGCTTGCAGCACAAAGTCTGCAATCAAGGAAGGAGGACAGTGACATGCATGTGGAGAGGGTTGGGGACCAACCTATCTTGGGGCCCCAGAGGTGGAACTGTGTAATGGAGCCAAGATCTCCTTCAGCATGGGGGTGCGGGAGGAGGACGAGTCACACACTGAGCATGAGGAACGGCTTTGGGAAGGGGAGAGAGGAAGGCCTGGGCCCATGCAGTGCCAGATGGGGCCCATGCAGGCTGGTTGCCAGGACAGGGAGCAGAGGGAAACAGGCTGCACAGTTCTCAAGGACACCTCTGGGTCTTTGGACTCATTGGCTCATGACTGGTGGCCCAGGTCCAGGTTGCTGCCCTTCTGCCCCACTCCCAAGACCCTCAGCTCTGCAGCTGAGGTAGACTTGTGGGGACTATCCACCAGAAACCTGCCAGGCCCATGGAAGAGAGACAGTGCTCTGTGGCCTTCCCCATTAGCAGATGGATCCTGGTCCATGGGGAAGTGTTAACTAAAAGAGATGGTGCTTCAGGTCTCAAAGGTGGGTAGGGGAAGCAGGAGGAGTAGCTCCCAGGTAAGCGGTTGGACTCAGAATCTGATAATCTTATCCAGACCTCATGTTTTTCAGGGACTTTGCACCCCTGGAAGGTAGAGGCTAGTCTGCCCATCTTGCAGACAGCAAAAGCCAGGAAGTGTAAGAGGCCATTAGCTTTGGGTTGTGCAGTCCATCCCAGAGAACTGGTGTTGGTGCAGCCACAGGACTGAGGTGCTGACAATTTCAGCATCATTAAGATTGGCCCCCAGCTGCCTGCCCATCACTGGCTGTGTTCCTCCGTACCCTATTAGCCTGATTGGAAAATAGACCTGCTACGCACAGCTGCCCCTCTATGGGCACCGCTCATATGGCCAGGCCATGTAGGGATGGGACGATGGAATGAGCAGCAACTAAAAGGGAGGAGCCTCAGCTCTCATGAAATAAGTGAGGGAAAAGGAAAGCTTGATCATCATGTTGGCCCATTCATACAGAACCTGCCCAAATTCAAAAGTGTCAGAGAGGGCAGAGAGAGAGGGTGGTAATTCTGTTGGACGGAAATAATCCTGGTTACTGGGAAGCAGTCCCAAGGGAGATCCAGGGAGGCAGTCTATCCTCAATGTATGTGGGGAGGCAGGAGCCTGGCTGCCCATAAACCTCATT